GTCGTGTACATCTCCGGGGGCAAGGCCGGGAGGGGCGAGGGTGGCGCGAGTAGCCTCCGGGACGTATTCGCCCTGGGTCCCCGGGAGCAGACTTGGAGCAAGAGGGCGCCCATGGGCACAGCCCGTTTCGGGCACCACATGGCGGCACTGCGCGGCGCGGTGTTTGCCTTTTTGGGGCGTTATGAGCCCTTCTCTGAGATCGAGCGCTATGACCCTGGGGCGGACCAATGGACACGGCTGCGGCCGCTGCCCTATGACCGCTTCTGCTATGGGCTGGCCGTGGTGGAGGAGACGGCCCTGCTGTTGGGTGGGCTCAAGTGGCAGGACTCTCGCCAAGTGCCCACCCGAAACGTGGTGGGCTACGACTTGGATCTGGACCGCTGGGAAGACATCAGCTGTGCGCTGCCCTGGGCCTGGAGCGGCCTGCAGTGCGCAGTGCTGCAGCTGCCCGAGGATGGGGATGAGGAGAGGGACGAAGAAACCGGAAGGGCTCCCGATTTAGCGCTGGAATTAATAGGTTAGTCCAGGAGGCTCCCAGGGACAGAGGAAAGAATTGCACTGGACCAGGCTGATAGAGCAACAGATAGGCTTGTCTTAAGAAGGAAGCGCGGGGCGCAGTGGTTTCTGAAGGTGAAGGAGGCACACCAGGCCTTGGCCAAAGAGGAACATTACCTCTTATGCTGAGAATCGAAGGCCAAACCCCAAACCATACTTGCTGCCATCAGTAGGTTCCCACGGGAGCAGAAAGCCCCATGTTTCTCCCGCAGAGCTGCTGGTGAGCCTGAACTGCCGACCTTGTGGTTACCGATCGAATGTGCAACCCACGATGCCTCCAGGGCTTCTTGAACAGAAGGCAGGGGAAGGACAATAGAAGGGCATATGGGAACTCCACGATGGACTAGAAATGGATTTTCCAAAAGAAATCTGACCCTATTTTCCCTCCTACAGAGTGTTTCCTGAAGGGCTAAGCAATGAGAATTTTTGTGCCCCCCACCCCCACTTCTCCCGTCAAAAAAGGTAACAAGACGTTACAAGCACCACCCCAGAAGATGGTTGACTATAAAGGCTGGAATGTACATCATCTCAGAGGATGGCACGATCTACATAAATACTGAAGGGAAAGCGCCATGCTAAAATGGTAGGGCACCCTTGAAAGGAGAACTCTCATGGTGATGATCTGGAGCCACGCTCTTAGTTTTGCTTGTATGGTTTGATATAAATATGGAACCACGGGGGAAAATTCTCTGAAGGAAGCACTGTATACGATTGTCCAAAGTCTGCTCTTTTGAATCTCTCTGTCAGCCGCAGACTGTTTGGTTGTGGTTCTAGGTAGCTCCTTGGCGTAGTGGTTACGCATTGGGCTGCGATCCCCAAGGTGACCGATTCTCCACAGGAGAAACACGGGACTTTCTACTCCCGTAAAGAGTTACAGTTTTGGAAACTCACAGGGGGCGGCAGTTCTACCCTGTCCAGCTAGGATTCAGCACCGACTCCATGGAAGTTTTTTTTTAGAGCAGACAGTTCCTTGATTTTAGTTCACATTTAAGCAATTCTTAGCCAAAATAATCAGGCTCCTCAGTGAAGTGGGGCATCCAACCGAAACGAAACCATACGTATTTCTTTCATTCTCTTTATATGTTCATTCTGCAGTGGTTCATCCCCCGCCCCTCCCTTTACTTCCTTAAAGTTGTCTAGAGAAAGGAAAGAGAAGCAGGTGAAACTTCAAAGTTACTGTCCGGTAAATGGGAAACCAGCCTGACTGCTCAGGGTCTTGGCGAGGATATTAGCATACCCAGACCAGGGGCCTCTGCCCGCAAAACTTGGAACTGGCCACGGGGGGTAGGACGGTGTTGCATGATTAGGTAATGAGAAAGGTGTTAAGGGCATTGTAGGAAGAAAGCAGGTGCTTTGTAAGGATTCATTAAGAGCTGAATTTATTTGACTTCAGTTTTACAGTGCCGCCTCTCCCCTAGAATTGAAACGAATGCAATTAACTGTACAGATACATAGTGGCAAAAGGTCTCTTTCATGCTAGGTTAGCCACGAGATTTTTGAAATTCAGTATTTTAATTTTACCATTTAATACAACCGAGCTGACTTTACAAAAAAAAGCTGCTTCATAGCAACTGTTTGCTGTTTACAGGGCGAGACCAGGCCACTGTATACAGGCCACACCCATCAGAATACAGAGAGTATTATGTGAACATACACATTTGGTCTAGTAAACAACAATGTCTAAACACCTGTTTAACAAGCACACTTCATTTTAGGACAAGAGGGTTTTTTGTTTGTTTGTGTTTGTTTGGTTTTTGGCACATATACAAAAGTCCCACAAATTTAATGTGCGTCCATTATTCATGCAGTAAATAAATGTTCTTATATTTTTACAAATATGTTTGTTTTTTGTTTGGTTTTTGAAATGATAAAAATAGTACACTGGACCCCAAATCCCATACACACATTAATACATGATTTTCTCATCCACTTTGACTAACTATAAGATCACTGAAAATGTGCTGTAGAAAGGCCACTCTCCCGTACAGTTGTGCAAAGTCTGCAAAACCAGTCTGGCTGGGGAGTTCTTCACGTTCTCCGCTACTGCAAGAATAGTCACTGGGCTAGAGCGGAATTCTTAAAGATGAAAGTACATTCACTGAGTTGTACAGGCAGCAGTATACAGCTGAGTAAAAGTAGAGTTTAAGATACCGAGTAGTCAGGGAGGGTCCCCTCCTCCTTAAAAAAGAGCAAATTGTGACTTGTACGTTATGCAGCCAGACACTAAAAAGCAGCACGGTCATTAGCATGCTGTGATCACTTTAGAGAACGTGACTTTTCTAAATGGAAATAGGTGAAGAGGATGTCTTCATCGACTTCATCCACTCTCGGACAATTCATGAAGCTAGGACCAGCCTCATAATAGTTCTCGCATATAAATCGATGTAGCTTATCTCTGAGTAACCTTAGGAAAGAAGTACAGTTTTGATTGTTGCCATACTATAACACACATCAGCCTGTAACTAGACATAGTTCACTTCCCTGCCTGAAGTAGAATTATATTAGTTTAATTAATAGACTGGCGGGGTGGAGGGATCAGACGCTAACTGGAAAGTTGATTTTTTTTCTGTTTATATCTTGTAGTAGTTTATGAGTTGGAGATTGAAAGCTGTTAGCTGCCTTTCTGGGTGAGTTAAGTCTGTTGTTGTGTGTGTGTGTTTTTTAAAAAAACCCATTCTCAAACTCCTCTGTACACAATCAGCATTTCATCACTACAAAAATAAAGGAAGATTTAAACCAAGAAAATAAAGCAGCTCTATCTTCAATTTTGGTCTTAGTTACAAAAACATCTTACAAAGCTTTGCCCTGATACACCATGAAGTGTTCTCATAGATTTGGAATCATATCTCCATTAACCAGCTTGCACAAGTTAATAGACTATTAAGACGGATAGTAGATACCTGAACTTTTCTTATGTCGATGCTTTTCTATGTTGCTTAACTCTTGTAGGCGCATCTACATTTCACAAAAATAAAACTACAGCATTAAACTTTGTGCAATGTTTAAGAAAATTCTCAGAACACTTTAATAAATATAAAAAACTTTTAAATTCTTTCCCACCCACAAAGATGTCTGCACCTGAAAAAATGTGATTTAATTTTTGAAGTCCTGTTTATATAAAATTAACTTATAGGGAGAAAAGATGACCTTAGATATAAAACTGCCTTTTTGTGGTTCTTACTAGTCGAAGACCACCTGTCTTTAAATTGTTTGCAAAAGTTAATTTTGAAGTCAGTAAAGACAGTTTATTTTGCACATGGTAAACACAAGCTGAGCACTAACTGCATATAAAATATACAAATGCTCATTAAAGACAGTGGGATTGTGACCTTATATGGTTGGTTTCATATACCAGTCGTTCAGTAACATTAAAGTATAGCTCATCGAGTGTCCCACACATCGATATAAAAACTACCCTATGTACGTGTTCAAAGTACCCGAAGGTACCAGATGGCCTGAAGGCAGAATACACTTACACGTGCGTTTCAATGTAAGAATGAGTGTGTGAGAGAGAGGAAGTGATTACATCTACGTCAGAGGAAATACTTAATGGGTTATTTGAAGTGGTGTTTTGACAGATATCCAAGAACAGGTCGAGGTACATCTGCTTCCATTGTTGGAATTCTTTAGATGTCAAGTCTGGATTGTCAAGAACTTTATCAATAATGGCTACTTCCCCTTCTCTGGCCTGAAAAGCAAAAGGATTTGACAGTTAAGATAGAGACAAACTTTGATTCCACGTTACAAGGGAAACAGTCGATTGGCAAACAGTAACATGTGCTGCCCTCTAAGAAACTGCGCTTGTATAAAATATTTTGACTCAAATCCCAGTGTACTTTTTTCTAGACCCGAGTGATGTCTCATATTGTTCATACTCTCTGATTTTCTTTTCTCCTGGCCAATCCTCATTCTTTAAGAACCAGGTCACTTGTCACTTCTTCGTGGACCCTTTCCTTCAATGCGTGGGAAAAATGTGCTCCCTCTTGTATGTCTCCCTGACGCATCATCATTGGCTCCAGGAATCCACTAGATCATATGCTGTCTCTTGAGTTATTTTTGTACCTGATCTACCTCCTGCTGTATGAGCTAGACTCCTCGTGTATGCCGGAGAGAAAATATGGCCTTCTTCACCTACGTAAGTCTTGCTGTGTGAAGGCGGTAGTCGCCTTCCTGCAGCCTGTGGGCCTCAAGGGGAACCAGGGTCTGCCTTTTATCTTGGAGGCCAGCTATCACCACAGCACCACCTCACCTGTGGAAGAAGTGCATTCCCCAAGTAGAAATCGGAACAGATGAGGGTTTCAGGCAGCCTGAGAGTTCAGTGTTATTTAAGGACCCAAGGTTGTCCTGGAGTCCAGCAGAGCACCTGTCACACATACTTATTGTACTGAAGAGTCAGGTGCTCAGAGGTTTTGTTATTAGAAGAGAATCCATTTGGAGAGGAGTCTACAGAGCATACAAGATAAGTGCAAGGGGCAGAGAGAAGGGGGAAGAGAGGAGAGAGAGCGAGCGAGAGTGCGCTCATGTCTTCAGAATATGTGAGCCTAACTTGCTTCAGAATGTTTGCTTATCTTATAACCCCGGCAGAGTTTGGCGCTAAATAGATTCTTTAAATTTGGAGAGGGAAGCTATCTTTTGAAGAGGCGATATTCATATGGCTAGTATCAAACTCACTGCCATCCAGCTGTTTTGGACTCACAGTGACCCTATAGGACAGGATAGAACTGTCCCTGTGGTTTTCAGAGACTGTAACTCTTTACGGGGCTAGAAAGCTTTGTCTTTCTCCTGGGGAACAGCTGGTGGTTTCAAACTGCTGACCTTTGGTTGCAGTCCAACACATAACCACTACACCAACTCTGTGTAACATTAGGGTCTCAGTTACCAACATCCTATTGTTATTTCCCATAAATTTGCAAGGGTGTTCATGAATATCAATGAAAAGCGAACAGACTTTAAAAACGTTGACTGTTTGCTCTCAGAATCCCTGCCCCACCCACCCCACCTTCCCTGACCTCATCATTGATTCTCTATTTTGGTGATCTCATTGGTAGTCTTCTACTGTTCAAGATCACAGACCCTCAGCAACATACTACGCATCTGAACCACTTCCCCCAGGAGCCCTCTGACCCTTTGTTTCCTGAAGTTCCTGAGGCACACACCCTATGTAATAGTTCTTTCCCATTTGGGATTTGTCAAAGGTGCTTAGGCTAAGTTTGTATGGCAGGCTCTCCACTGGAGTGTCCTAGAAGCACTGCGTGTGGCTGCTGCTTTTTCCAAACTTCCTTTTCTCCCCTATCCACACAGTGAGGGGAACTCACTTTGTTGCTGACTTCAACTTTCTGCTGTCCTCCTCTGCTCTCAGAAAACCTGACTGCTAACCAAAGGTGGGTGGATTGAACCTCCTCCGGAAAAAAGTGGCAGGCTGCTTCCGTAAGGATTATTACAGCCTTGGAAACCCTATGCGGCAGTTGTTGTCTGTCCTATGGGATCCCTATGAGTCAGAATCAACTTGACAGCAACAGGGACTCTGCTCACATTGTCACCTCCTTCCCGATCTGGGGGTGGCATATAATAAGGTAACGGGGGATAAATTTATAAGAAATCACTCTTGGAAATGTAAACGTAACATATGAGTTGAGGCTGATCATGTCGTCTATGATGAGATCAATGAGAAAATGTCTACATGGAACACAAACTGCAGTGGCTTCACTCTCAGTGCCTACTCATTAAGGTAAAGAATATTCACAGAAGAGCTTTTAGCATCCACCACTGTATTCTGCATGCATGATGTATTCTTTTAATAATGCTGAGAATCACCCCCTCTCACCAACAAGTCGTCTCAATTTCTAGTGACCCTGTAGGACAGATAACTATTCCTGTGGGTTTCTGAGACTGTAACTCTTTACAGGAGTGGAAAGCCTCATCTTTCTCCCGTAGAGAAGTTGGTGGTTTTAAACTGCTGACCTTGTGTTTAGGAGTCCACCATGTAACCCATTATGCCTCCAGGCATCTGATATTTATCTTAGGGAAGCCACAATGTGAGGAATAACACCAGCCCCCCAACACACACACCCCTTTTTTTAAAATAAAAAAAAAAGTCACTAACAGCTTGTGTTGTCCTTGGACTGTCACATGTCATCAGCCTTGTGGGACTTTATTTCAAAGTTGGAGATGATTTCCTCTTTACTCACATACTTCTGGGCTAGGAACGTCCCAGCCTCTGGTTCTTCTTCCCTCCCTCTCCAATTTGCCTTTCTTCATCTAGAATATCTGCTGATCCGATTTGAGTCCAAGAGTGAAACTCATCAAGAAATTCATTCTTCTACTTTAGTTCTTACCTTTAAAGTGCTTTTGAGAATTCTCAGCCTGTGTAGTTTTTCATTCATTACAGGATCATTACATCTCTTTATGAAGGACAGCTTGTATTCTAGCTTAGTTGAAATACGATGTTCTCCTAGAGGCGACAGACTGGCTTGCTCCAATGCCCTGTATAAATCTTGCAACGAGTCTCCTAACTTTTCTTGCTTACTTTCACCTGCAATATCCGTAAGAAAAAAAAAAGAATAAGATGAATCCAATGTAACACACAGTTATCTGACACTCCAAAAATCTATAAATAAAATGATAATAATTTAAAAGAACCTCCAAAGACAGAAAAGAAGCCAAACACAACCCAACCCACCGGCAAAACAGGATCATGAACGACTGGGAAACACTGTTATATTAAAAACAAAACAAAACAAAAAAACCCTCACAGCTGCTAGTTATATTGGATATAATTAACTACAGGCAGCCAATTGTTGTAGAATGATCAAATAATAGAATGTTTGCACTAACCAAATATTCTCCGTATAGCAAATCCCTGTATATGTCATGAGTCCATGTAGTGGAAAGAATTAGAGTACAAAAGGTACACAACACGGAAACAATCTTGCACATAATATATTTAAAAACAGCACTAAATCTTTTGTCATCTTACTGCTAAGCAGAGCAGTGCTGAGCCACAGGACTCTCCTGGGTTAGCAGGACTCAAGGAACGGCTTTCTACTTGACATTTTTTTCCAGACAGTAGAGTTCACTGGAGCATATTTGCTTATAAAAATCTTCCAATGATGTGCCATAGATGATAGTAGGTTTCATGTGACTGTCATGGTAATGCCTGCCACAGAGTAATATGTTAAATGATCCAAAATTGTCATCAATAATAATAATGCTTTCCTTAAGTGAAATATGGCAATAGGATGATTTGCAAATTTAAAAATATCTGGCAAATGCTAAGAGAAGCTATTTAGCATTTGTAAGACCTGAAGAAAACATTCCAATGAAATAATTTGGAATTACAATAATGACGACTGATTCAGCAGAGGATGTTAGATTGAGCTGAACAAATCACACTTGCATCTTATTCGTCAATTGCCTGAAGCCAGATTTCATGGATTTGTCAAGAAAGAGAAGTATAGATGAACTAGGCTTTGGCTGGAAGTAGCAGACTGGAGTGGGGTGGTATCATGTTTCTTTTAATACACAGCCAAAGCGTCATATTTGAGGGATACTCATGTGCTCACTTCGGCAGCACATGTAACTAAAATTTGAGGGATACTAATTATATTGCCCAAGAAGCAAATACCAACTGTTATTCATCCCACCATTGTTCATGGGATTGTTTCAGGCTTTCAGACATTTAAAAAAAAATCTGTAATAGCAGCCCTGGCAGCACATGGGTTAAGCGACTGGCTGCTAGTCAGCGGGTGGTTCCAACTCACCAGAGGCTCTGAGGAGAAAAGACTTGCTGATCTGCTCCCATAAAGATTTCCGCCTACGAAACCCTAAGAGCAGTTCTGTCCTATAGGGTCACTATGAGCTGGAATCAACTTGAGAGCACACAGAACAACAAGTGGTAGGAACAGTAGTCAATACTCACATGTGCTAAGGCAGTAGGACCAAATGCTTAGCATTTATTATCTTATTTAACTCTCACGGCAATATTAAGAGGAGATCTAGTCTCTTTTCGCAGGTACCTCTTATCGCAGGTACCGTGTCCAAGCTCACAGCTAGTAAGTGGTGGAGCGAGAAAGCTAACTGGGCAGTTTGGCTCCAGAAATCCTGCATTTTTAACCAGAATTCTACATTTGCAAGTGCTAATGTGAGCTTGCCTTAAAAAGGTAGCACATAAAAGATTTTTAAAAGAGAGTACTAAAATGGCCTGGAAAAATCACAAACATATAGTACCTTAAGTGGAAGAGATTAACTTTAGAATTAAAGAACAGTTTGGTTCAAATTTCAAATTCTACTCTTGGCTCTGCTGCCAGGGTTAGCAACGAATGGCATGATTCTTGAATCCTTCCACTAGGAAAGCCTTTGTCGTCAGCAAATGCGATCACTACATATGTGCCAAGTAGTCTCTAATGAATTTTAACTTCTTAGCCAGAGCATACCTTTGAACTATCCACATACAGAGATTTAAATCCCTCTAAATAACAGTTTGAAAAATCTCTACTGGCTCATCTTTGAGTGTTTTCAACACCTACAGGATTGTGCAAAATGGGTGGATGGAAGATCGTTAACATGGAAGAGCTGTTTTGTGGGTTAAGAGCAAGATTGAAGCAGACAGATAGGACTGGTTTGGAACAAAGAAAGCACACAGTCACATCCATTAGCGCAAGGAAGTGGCGTTGTAGAAACAGGGACATACTTGAACAGCAGACATTCCATTTCATAAAGCCATGCGTTAGGGAAAGGACCCCAAGGAATTATTTAGTCATCAGTGATCTTTTTGTCTCATGGAAAGCCTGCATCTACAGCTACATTTCATAGAAGTAGGAGGCCCAAGCGATGTAAATTATAGTAGCTAAGGTATTCAATGACCTCCTAGAAAGAAGTGAAGGAAAAGGGGGTTGCAATCGATTTAAGGGAGGCTTTTTACATGGTAAATTTTTATTTTAAGATAACCTTCCTCCGTATTACTTAATATGGTAAAGAGTATCTATTTTGTTTAAGAAAACCAAAAACAACTTGACCCAGTTTTCTCCCCACGCACCCCTGCTATTCTTACAGTGAATAATGGGGCATGCGATCAAGTTTTCATAAAACCTCAATGTCGTTTCACTTTAAGAAAGGTAAAGATTTTAGCATAATGAACGACACACAGTGCTATTAAATAAACAGAAACCGCAAGCTTTCCCTCGCCCTTTTTGCTGTTAAGGGGGATAAAAAAGCCTTCAACCAAAAGACAACATAATTCTACACAGAATCTGGTTTGACAGCTGTAAGAAGAATTGCGGATGGATTGATCTCTGGGGCAGCACATTTAAACAAGGACTCACACCGAGACAAACACGGAACCACTTCCACGTTATTGTAATGCCAGAGTGTGGATTCTACCTGAGATGAGTAAAGGCCCCTGCACCGAGCAGACCCATGTAAACACCACACAAGACTCAGTCCTGGAATGAGTAAGGCAGAAGGGTTGAAAAGCCAAGCTCCCCCAAATGCCACCACTTACTCAACATTGTAAGACTAGACAAAGGGTCCTTTTATTTTCGAAGGATGGAGGGTAAGGGGCAGGCAGCCAAATTATAATCTGATTCACTGCGCTCAACAGTCAAAACACAACACAGAACTCAACATCCAAGACAAAAACAGACCTTCATTTTCGTTTCTAATTTTCAATTGGTTTCCTTGATTTTTCTCAGCTGAATACCAATTCAGTCAATCTGAGTTGCTGTTGCAACTGAAAACATGAAAGCACCGTTATTTTCTTCTCTTTGCCCTCTTCTTCTCCGTCTCCTTCTCCTTTCTCTTCGGGCTTCTGTGTTTTTAACACCCTGGCTTTTCTTCACTCAGAAGCAGCTTGCCCTGGAGGCTGGCTTGGCAAGAGCAAGCAAGCCCTTGGTGAGGTCTGCTCCCAGACTGGCGTTCTCCCCTTTTTGGGAGGTGAACGGAGCGCTTTGGAAAGTTGGCAAAGGAGAGGGGACCACATTGAAATCACAGGACACATCACGGAGTCTTCTGTGATTTCTAACCATTCATTTCTATTTGATTCATTCAGAAAAATGTTTTAAATCTGTACCTGGTTGGTTTAGTCAGAAAGCGATGGACCTATTCTGAAATAATGCCCCTCCCCAATTATATTTATCTTTACCAATGTGGGAATGAGGACTGAGTCAGACTGTATACTTGTTAAACTCCAATTTGATCAAAGCAAAGCTGTTCCCGTGCCTGTATGCAATTTGATGGACGAATAGATCTGAGGATTACACTGAAGTTGTGATTAATTTAACTTGTAACCTGTGCCCAAGAGGGTAGTTCCTGGCTGTGTCCATACACGGCGGGGGTGAGAGATTATTCACTTTATGATAGTGACATTAGGGAATCTTGTCATCTCAAGCTGTGTGTGATCTCCTGATCATAAGTGAGCAACAAGAGCCCCAAGAACAGGTGCGCTAAGGGGAAATCACAATCTCTTGGGGAAACTGTTCCTGAGAGACCAAGCGCTCTTTTCGCTGATGGATTTCCTTCCATTTAAGCTCAGTGGTCTCTGCCATTTTTGGATTGTGGCCCCGGGCCAGCACATTTCCTTCCCGTACCTCCCCGGGGCCATGTGTATCATCTCCTTCTTGTCCCTGGCACAGCACCTCAGGCACCCAACAAGTTGGAACAGAACGATGATCTTCCTTCTACTTTTTACGTGAAACACTCTCGAAGGAGCCCCGTGTCAGGTGGCTGCGTAATGATCAGGACAGTCCCACGTGTAAACGTATCATTCCGGTTTCGTTAGGAACAAATAAGGAGAGGAGTACAAAGGTGATGATCTGAATGTTTGCTCTGGTGGCCCCACACCTGCAACCACAATGTTGAGGGACAGTAAAACTATAAGGAACTCTACCCTGCCCACCCCCCACCCCCATTCCCAAATTGACAAAATGAGTAACCAATTGGGTTCCTGAAAAACCAAAATGGATCATCAGGTCTGGGACACGTGCTGGAAGGGATTCGTGCTCTTTTGAAAACTGGACACCGATGTCCTCGCAGAGAGTTTTTTCCGTCCATAACACATCTTGTGTAATGAACACGGAGGTTGTGAAAGGTTAAATGACAAGTGGGAGAGAAGGCTGCAGCAAGTAGTATTAGTCACCAGTCCAATCTGACAGACATTTGTTCTTGGACAACAGCAGAGGATTTTGAAGGTGTCCAGGCGGATAATATCAAGCATGCGGAACACTATTCTTGTCACTGGGGTGGCGGGGGTGGGGTGGGGGCACTTAATATTTTCACTGAGGTCACAGGAAGATTTTTCTATGATTACTAAATTAATATTATCAAAATGAATGATAATATTATTCTTTATATGTCAGGTGGTAATGATACTTTCAATGGATTTAATGTCTTTGTAGGTTTTATACTAAAGATAATGAAGTATTTAGGCATCTACACTGCAATTGCATTTTTTTTTCTAATTGAATACTAGCTCTTAATCCATGCTTTTATATAAGTCAACTAGCTATGCTCAGCATTGTAAAACTAGGTAGAGGGGAG